TGCAGGCTCAGCGATTGCTGCTTATACTATATAATTTCCCCCTGTTAATGAATTAAAAAGTTATGATTCCATCAGCATTTATAAATGTTCAGGGAGCACAGTATGTGAAGATCTCGGTCATGGCCTCATTTCAAGTCCAGTGAGAAATCGCGTAGTGATAAGACATGTTAGTGAACAGCATCATCTTGTCTATGAAGAATTACATGCACAGGTTTCTGTAATCCTCTCTATAATAACAGTTTTGCCTCTGTAGGAATTTTATCACTGAAGAGTTCTTTTTTTCACTGTACTTTTTTTGTATAATCTTTATTACTGCATTTCAAAGTATACAGAAATACAAACTTTTATATTTTGGAGGGAGTTGCACAAAAATGAAAACCGAAGATAAACAATCGGCATACATTTCCCATATGTTTACATAGTACCAGTAAGCTAAATAAAAAAGTTGTCAAATCCTATGTGGACAAGAAAGATATTGTCAAAAAGGCAACCTGCACAAATGTAGTGTGAAAGTATCTCGAAATCAAATGAATACTTAGCAGCAACTTGCATGTACAGCGTTCTGCAGTCTTCTTCCTCCCCACTAGGGGATAGAGTAAAGCCAACCATACAAGGATTGAAATGCGTCCAGTTCAGCAAAGACCAGCCGAATTTCGGTCCATGTATCGACAGGGTGGTTGTACAGAAGTCTGTCTACTAATCAACTTCAGTACAATTGCCCTGTTAAATTTTTGCTATTCAATCAGGCTATAACCTGCTGATCAGTGTATTCTGACAGTGGGGAAGTTGCCCAATTGTCAGAATGCAAAGGCACAGTGGGAGGAATCCTCCATCCACCTCTGTGTGGATGGGGGATTAGAGTCATGTTTTGTTTGTTTAGCCCACTGATTAAATTAAAATAAATGATTCATCTATGGGCTTCTTAAGTTAACAAAGAGTAAGGTGATAAAGAGAATAATTTAAAAAAAATCAAAAAACAAGGAGAGGGAGGGGGGTACTGTCTGAGATCAATTGTCCTAACAATGAAATCCAGAATGAGCCGCAGAGCAGCATTGGGGAAGAACAAAACTCTTACCACCATTTATCTACAGCAGGTATACCAAGTGATCAAGAGATAGTGGGCCAGTCGAGTAGATAGATGCAAGCAGCCATATCTTTTTAAAACTTACCATATTTGTTATGACAGACATATACCAATTCTTCAGCTTCCACAATGTAGCCTACTAATCCAATCATCCACTCTGGGTACCTATATTTGCTTATAAAACAGCCTTTTAGTTTTGTAGTGAGCCTGAAAGCTTATTATTAGTCATAATTCCATAGATAATTATTTCCCATTATCATTAGTCACTTAAAGCTGAACTCAAAGAAAAGGAAAAATACACCAATTAATGCAGTTATGTATTTAGAAATATAATTACAATTATTTTTTGTAATGAAGCTGGTATTAGACTCTTACATTCCCTTGAACAACAATACTCAAAATGAGAGAGAAGGAATGGGACTAGGACCCAATTAGATGTGCAGTGACTACATATGTGCCACAATGGAACATGCTGTCAAGGATCACTGAGTTGCTGCTCCTTCATTGTCCAATAACAGGCATGGGGCAGAGAGGTGACAAAGCTATATAGTACAACTATAGCAGAGAAAAGACAGATCACCAACCTGGCTATTCTGTCTGACAGGAATGTGTAAATCTCAGGGCTATGTGTACAATAATACAAATCCTTCAAATCCTTTGACAGAAAGTTTAAATATAAGTATTTTCGCTGTGCATTTAGCTGTTTTCTGATGAGAAAAGGTATTTAGCAGGTTATATTTACTAAAATAACTGCATGTCCATGTTGTGTGTACTGTGAGAGACCAGATATAGTGAATGCAGGGTCCGGGGTTTAGTAACACTTTAAAGTGTCTGTATAGCCCAAGCTTTTTTTATTTTGGGAAGAGAATGGAAAGGTTAAAATTCCTGCCAGCTTCTTTTTTGGTGTCTGGGTACCACTGGGGAAATTTCCATTCACATTCTGTCCCAGTGGTGCAACAGAAAATTAGAAGCTGAGGGGAATCTTTCTCTTAGACAGTTGTCCCCAGAACAGGTGTCTCCATTTCAATGTTTTGCTTTACCTTTACAAAATGTCAAATTACAGAAATACATTGAAAAATATTGTAAACAATTGTAAAATGGATGCTCGGTATTTTGTTGGATTTTGGATTTGTATTAACTTAAAAAAAAGGTATATTCCCCTTATAGACCTATTCCTATGGCTGGAGGGCTGTGCCTAACTTATGACCTTCAGCACTATGAGGATGCTTTATAATATAAGTTTGCCAGTCACAAATTGAAATCCGTATTAAACAAATTATCGTTTCCCTGCACTGGTTTAATAAATAGGGAAAGACCCATTCTCTGTCTTTTTTTCTTGCAAAATCCCATCAATTGTTTATTGCAGCCGGGATGTAAACCTGTCTCACATCTGCAGTTTCAAGCCTTAAGTTGTAGAATCTATCTTTCTAATATAGAGTGACATAATAACTGGACAGAAGGGTGATGGAAGATTCCCACAGTCCATTTTACAACCATTAACTGGTCAGTTCGTTAAGTAAAAACAAATGCAGTTACACTGTAACCACAATCAATAATGTTGAACAAGAGCAGTCATTAACAGTGCTATTGTGGAAAGCGGACAGTAGAAATCTTTCATGATCCCTTCAGATAAAACCTCTATGTACACACAGTTTAATTTTTTCTAATTAAAAAAAAACGTAACTTATGTGCATTGGATTCAACAGGAAAGGCTAAGTGATGATGGTTTTAGATATTTTATAGGGTTTTAGGGACTTTTAAATGACTTTTGGGTGTTTTTGTTTTTTGAGTGTAGTTTTTTAGGTTTAGGGTTTAGGGACTTTTAAATGACTTTTGGGTGTTTTTGTTTTTTTGAGTGTAGTTTTTACTTTTTTGTGTTACTTTTTATTATTTTTTTGACAACTTGAAATAAAGCAAATAGCAAATTAAAAAAAACAGTCTATTAATAATGAAATTAATTCATAAAAATTGATGTATGTATCAATGAGCTGTATAGTAAACAGAACACATTGATGAAGCTATGACTAGGTGAAATGAGGATGTGATGATGATTCATTATGTTGTTATTTCAAAAAGTGGCTTTGATTTAAAAAAAATCATTCACTGAAGCTGGTGGAAACAGAAGCTTTTGCTTGCCTGACAAAGGCTTCTTCTTGTATAGCAACAGGTGAGACATTGGTGGTGTGTACATCTTTTTTAAAGAATTTTATCAGCAGCTTTACATTTTGTTTTTTAGATTTCTCCTTGGATTTTAACAAGGCAAAATTAGTGGACAATTTTTTTTATTTCTTTGAAACTGATAATTTAGCAAAATTCGTTTTCAGGATTTTTAAAATTTCACACTCATTCCTACTTATAATATTATTGTAATAGTGAAAATGACTAACACAGAAAGCAAATGGCAGTGAACAGGCATAAATCTATCTAATAGCTGCGGCAGTTTATAAATGGATTGAAAAAGGTCAACTTGAACTAACAAAAAAGTAGAAATATTCCTATTTAATCCCTTTATAAGGAGTGCCGAAATAATGTTTAAACTTAAAAGGCAGCACTATAGCAAGTGGTGAAGATATATAGATATATATATATATATACAGTATATATATATATATATATGGATACTAGCATCAAGGGTAGAGCTTTTACAGCACACAGCCACTCGCTTTCTTTTTTAAGTTCCATAAATCTAAACAAATGATTTCCCTCATAGCTTCCTGGCTTATACATACAGTCCTGCTGCTCTGGCCTTCCACTTCAGGCTCACATCTGTCTCCTGCATACTCTTTTCTGAATGGCTGTTTTGCACACAGCTAGCAGCCCCTTGCTGCCCTGGCTCCCTCCTCTCCTAGGTGGAGCCCTACTGACTCCGGGGCAATGACCTCCTGTCTGCTGGGGTGGAGTCCAGAACCATGGTTAGGCCTCTACAAAAGGCCTGCACATACCTGTGTAATCAGTGTGCTGGATGTTCACAAAACATAGACCCAGGATTGGAGATTTCATCCCTCCCAAATCACTTTGAAATCTCCAGGCCCCAGGTCCTGAAGCCCCTCAAGCTGTTTAGTTGAGAATCCTGGGTTATAACCTTGATTTAGACTGTGGCAGGATACCGCATTGCCACAACATATATATATATTAAATTTTTTATATATATATATATATATTATATTTTTTAATGCATGACAAAGGTTTCTCAGAGGCCTATGGATTAGTTTAAGGGAAAAGAAAGTAGATGCAGACTTCTTTGAGGCTCCAGTTGCCTAACTGAAACTTCAGACTGAGCTGTCCATTAAGAATTGAGTCACTTTTCTGACACACTGTATTCCCATTTGTGTAGTAAAATGAATTGGAGCTTTATCAAAGAAGCAATGGTAAGGCCTGTAAAAACCTAAATCAAGAAACAAATATATACAAAACCACTATTCATTTTTATAATGAAATTTTATGTTAAAATCAAAAGTAATTATGTACCTAGCTAACTTACTATACTTACTATAATCGTTGGAAAGAATCCATGAAAGCTAAAAGTTGTGCGTTTTGTGGAATACTGTTTAATAACAATACCTGAAATTAAAAAAAAACTGTAATTATATTAGGTGAAAATGGTACTGTGTGCACTTACCAGCTTTTGCACGACAGTTTTGGCAGATGTACATAAAATTGCCATGTTGTTGAGTTTTACAGAAGGTATTTGCATTTTAAATGGATGCTCTGTGTTTTAGCTTTTAGTGGCAAGATATTTTAAGGGTTATCCTAGGTAAACAGTCAGCTTTATGCTGACTGTTTACCTGCTTTTACTTTTTACATATTTATGCTTTTTACTTTTTACTGTTTATGCTTTTACTTTTTTACATATATGTTTTGTGTGCAACGGTAATATATTTTAGAACATATGATGATGTATTTCTTCTAAAATGACAGGTATCGGTCTTGGTGTTCTGGTACGGGAATATGGAAAGCTTTCAAATCTGGACAAAGTTTATTTTGCTTTTCCTGGAGAGATTCTGATGCGGATGTTAAAACTCATCATTTTACCATTGATAGTATCCAGCATGATCACAGGTATACTTTTGTCATTTCTGCATACTCCTTTTTCTTATATAACTATATTGAACTTCTTGAAATATGTGGTTATATGGTCAGTGTAGAGAGCTTTGGTGACATGTAAAGTTCAGAAACCAAGAGCAGCCAAGGTAAACTTTGAATTTATTGTAATCAGATCATCATTTAGGAGGTGAAATCTAAATTCATAACTATGGGTTATTGCATTTATACATTCTTATTACTCTTTGCCATGTGTAACTGAATAAGTAAGACTGTATAACCTTTACATGAACTCAGCTTTATGTACGGAAGTCTATAATAGTAGCTTTCTCTTGTGGATTTTTTATATTGGTCTTCCTGCATGCTGCTGTTGCAAAGGCTGTTTGCACATTATTATTTATTTCACATATTATTGATTATTTAGGGTAGATTACATTTCATCTCAGAAGTCCATGATAGATAACTGGTCCTTTCAAAATAGGAACATTAGTGTACTACAAAATGCTTTTCACCACCAGCTTTTATGGGGGATGGACTTAAAACAGCCCTGGGCAGCTCTTTCCTAAAGCAAACAGTGGTGGACTTTTTTTCCTGTGGAAGTGGCTGGTAAAGCTTTCCAATGTTCCTCTGTTTGTTATGCTCCTTATAAATTGCTCATGATTGAGCATATGATGAGCTAGTGATTTTTATGCTATATGGGGTTTAGTACACTGATTGAAGGGAATTTTCTACTACTACACAGAAGAGACAGATGTCTAGGTGAAGCAGAGAAGTTTTTTTCCAGACTTATAGAAAATAATAATTATTATTATTATTATTATACAGGATTTATATAGCACCAACAGTTTGCTCAGCGCTTTACATTATGGTGGGAGACAGTACACGAGACAGTACAGTAACAATACAATTCAATACAAGAGGGGTTTGAGGGCCCTGCTCCTTGGAGCTTACAATCTAGGAGGGAGGGGATAGTGGTACAGGAGGAAATAGCTGTGGGGGATGGAGTGGTTGGAAGAGTGGAGGAGTTCAGTATTAGCTGAGGGCAGGGTAGGCTTCCCTGAAGAGATAGGTTTTCAGAGTGCGCCTAAAGGTGAGCAGAGTAGGTGATAGTCTGATGGATTGGGGTAGGGAGTTCCAGAGGATGGGGGAAGCCCTGGAGAAGTCCTGGAGACGAGCATGGGAGGAGGAGACAAGGCAGCTGGAGAGTAGGAGGTCTTGTGAGGAGCGGAGAATACAGTTTGGGTGATATTTTGAGACAAGATCGGTGATGCAATTTGGGGCATGAACGGCTTTATACGTCAGTGTTAGCGTTTTGAATTTTATCCATTGGGCAATTGGAAGCCAGTGGAGGGATTGGCAGAGGGGGGAGGCAGATACAGAACAGTTAGTAAGGTGGATGAGTCGGGCTGCAGCATTCATGATAGAATGAAGTGGGGATAGCCTGCGGTGAGGTAGGCCAATGAGGAGGGAATTACAGTAGTCGAGGCGTGATATAATAAGGAAGTGAATGAGATTGCTTAGTGGTTTCCGAGGTTAGGAATGGTCGTATCTTGGAGATGTTGCGGAGGTGAAGTCTACATGAGTTTGTCAGCAATTGGACCTGGGGCTCAAAGGACAGATTGGAGTCTAGGATGACACCTAGTACTCTGGCTTGAGGGGTGGAACTGATGTTAGTGTTGTTGGTCTTGATGGAGAAGTCGGGGGGGGGCACGGGCTGGGGGGGGGGATACTAGGAGCTCAGTTTTGGAAAGATTTAGTTTAAGGAAATGGAGTGACATCCAATCCGATATGTCACTTAGTAGGCTTGTGATACGGGCGGAGACTGAAGGGGTGAGGTGAGGGGTAGAGAGATAGATATGTGTGTCGTCACCATAGAGATGGTAATTGAAGCCGTGGGAATTTATCAATTGGCCAAGGGAGGAAGTGTAGATGGAGAAGAGAAGGGGTCCAAGGACAGAACCTTGAGGGACCCCAACAGAGAGAGGGAGTGAAGAGGACATGGCAGCGTTATAGGTAACACTGAAGGAGCGCTGTGATAGATAGGAGGAGAGCCAGGAAAGAGCAGAGACTCTGAGGCCAAGAGAGTGTAGTTTTGTGAGGAGGAGGGGGTGGCCAACCGTGTCAAAAGCTGCAGAGAGGTCGAGGAGTAGGAGTACTGTATAGTGGCCGTTGGTTTTGGCGGTTAGCAGGTCGTTGGTGAGTTTGAGTAGGGCAGTTTCGGTGGAGTGTAGGGGGTGGAAGCCAGACTGTAGGGGATCGAGGAGGTTGTTGTCGGTGAGGTGGGAACTCGCGATTATAGACTAAGCGCTCCAGGAGTTTAGATGTAAATGGCAGCAGGGAGATGGGTCTTAGGTTGTTCAAATCGGTGGGATCCAGGGAGGGTTTTTTAAGTATGGGAGTGATATGCGCGTGTTTTAGAGGGGAGGGGAAGGTGCCAGTAGAGAGGGAAAGATTAAAGATGTGAGTGAGGGAGCGTAGAATGGAAGAAGAGGGTGACCGTAAGAGTTGTGAGGGTCCAGGGGACAGGTGGTGAGGCGGGATTCTGAGAAGACCTTAGTGACCTCTTCAGTAGTAGCGAGGTTGAAGGAGTGGAGTGTTGAGGGGGTTTTAGTGTGAGGAATGCTAGGTGGGGTAGAAGTCTGAGCAGTGGCGATGTCCCTACGAATTGCGTCAATCTTGTTTTTGAAGTGGTTAGCAATCTCGTGGGCGGTGAGTGAGGTACTGGGCGGAGGTGGGGGCAGAGAGAGTAGAGAGTTAAAAGTAGAGAAGAGCCGACGAGGACTGGAGGAGAAGGTATTAATGAGGGTAACAAAGTAGGTTTGTTTGGCAGTGTGAAGGGAGGAAGTGTATGTTAGGAAGGCAGATTTATATCGGGTGAACGCTTGTTGGGATTTGGTTTTATGCCATAGCCACTCCAGTGTACGACTACGTCATATGAGATTTTTGGTGTGGTCAGTCTGCCAGGGTTGTAGCGGTCGGGGCCTAATGCTTTGTGTTGTTGGGGGTGCAAGCGAGTCTAGAGCGGCTGACAGCGAGTTGTTGTAGACAGTAGTGGCCAGGTCAGGGCAGGACAGGGGAAGGATACTGTCGTAAAGTTAGTCAGCTGCAGAGTGGAAGGGAGCAGGGTTTAAGTTACGGAGGTTTGTGCTGGTGATTGTTTGACGTTTGGAGGGATAGGTGTTTAAGGACGAGGAGACGGAGAAGGTGATGAGGTTGTGATCAGAGAGAGGAAAGGGGGTGTTCGTGAGGTTGTAGGGAGTGCAAAGATGAGAGAAGACAAGGTCTAGAGTGTTCCGTTGGAGTAAGTGGTGGACTGTATACACTGTGCAAGTGCAAAAGAAGAGGTTAAGTGGAAGAGTTGAGATGTAGCCAGGTTATTGATGTTGATAGGGATGTTGAAGTCTACAAGGATGATAGTGGGTAGCTCAGAGGAGAGAAAGAAGGATAGCCAGGCGGAGAAGTCATCGAGAAAGCGGGACACGGGTCCAGGAGGCTGATAGATTACTGCAATCCTCAGAGAGATTGGAGAGAATAGCCGGATGCAGTGGGTCTCCAAAGAAGAGAAGAATAGAGAAGGAGGGTTTGGGAGGACTTGGAAGGTGCTCTGTGGTGACAGGAGCATACCAACCCCACCACCTTTCCGACCGCTGGGTCTGGGTGAGTGGGTCCAGATGAGACCTCCATAGGAGAGAGCCGCGGGGGAGGCAGAGTCTGCTGCTTGGATCCAGGTTTCGATGATCACTAGGAGGTTAAGGGAGCGGGAGACAAAGAGGTCGTGGATGGCGGTGAGCTTGTTGCAGACCGATCTGGTGTTCCAGAGTGCACATGAAAAAGGGAGGGTGGTTTTGGGGAGCAAAGGGACAGATATGAGATTGAGGGGGTTGCGGCAGTTCACTGAAGAAAGAGGATGCCTTGTGTGTGGGCGAGGTAGTGGAGGACCAGGGTTCGGGGAGATATCCCCAGAGGTTAGGAGAAGAAGCAGGGTGAGAAAGGTGGCATGGGAGCGGGATGTACATGAGAGCGTATGTCTACCAGTTATGGCGTTTGGGTCAGTAGGAGAGTGGAGTATCAACAGGAGGTGATGAGAGCAGTAGTAGGGAGATGGAAGCAGTGAAGGTGAGATGTACAGTTGTTTGGGTGAGAGCAGAGGGACAGAGAAAAGAGATTTTGGGAACGGAGGAGAGGAATATGAAAAGGAGGAGTAGAGGAGGCATTTTAAGAAGGTATACGGAGTGGCAGTCAGGTGTGGTAAAATGTTTCTCAGGGTGCTTGATTGCAGATAGTCCAGCATGCAGTAGAGTATCTCATTGTTGTCTCTTCCTGCAGCTAGAGTTTAACCACTTCCCGACCGGCCGTTGTATATAAACGGCCGGACGGTGGCACTGCAGGGTCGGGTGGCCGTCTATAAACGGCCTCCCCGCACCCTGCTTGTGCGCGCTCCCTGGGAGCTCGCAGCACCGCGATCCGGTGCCCGCTGTGTCCTCCGGACACAGTGAAACACCGATCGTCGGACAAGACCTCTGTACGAGGTCCCAATCATGTGATCACTGATTGGCCAATCAGTGATCACATGCAAAGTAGTAAGCAAGATGTCACTTCTGACATCATTGCTTACTATGTGTGAAATCTGTGAATGATCACAGAGGTCACATGGTACAAGGCTATTCACAAAAGCCTTGTACCATGTGACAAGCTGTGACCAATCACAGCTCACTCTGTATTTCTCAATGAGTGCAGGTATGCACACAGAGAGAAAGAGAAATGATTGCTTTTACATCCTATATGGGTGTAAAAGCAATCAGTGTAAAAAAAAAAAAAAAAATCTTCATCACCCCTCACAAGTAGTACAGTGTCACCATGGTGACACTGTACTGCTAGGGTGACAGTATGTAAAAAAAAAAAATAAAAATAAAAAATAATAATATAAAAAAAATTAAATAAAAATGTAAAAAAAATGTTTAAAAATTATAATTTTTGCTTATAAACTAATTTGGATTTTTTTTTTTTTACTAAAAAGATAACGGAATAAATTTTGGCTAAGGTTTATGATGAAATATTATTTATTTGCAAAATTTTATTAAAAAAACACTTTTTTTTTAAATTTTTGGACATTTCATTTACATAGCAAAAAAAATACAAATCCCAGTGGTGAATAAATACCACCAAAATAAAGCTTTATCTATCTAAAAAAAATGGTAAAAAATTCATTTGGGTACAGTGTTGCATGACCGCGCAAATGTCATTCAAAGTGTGATAGCGCTAAAAGCTGAAAATTGCCCTGGTCAGGAAGGGGGTAAAAGTGTCCGGTCTGGAAGTGGTTAAATGATGGGCTGGAACAACATTTACTTCCATCTTCACGTCAACATTAAAATGCTCAACCCTTTGGTAAAGCCAGTGCACCAACCCCCATACTGTCTGGCCCATGGGAGCATTCCTCTATTAGATTTCGTAGTACATGCAACCATTCTTTAAAGATTGATAAATACCTAAAATGGTGCAGCTTAAAAATTCTACTTTGATATTCTGGTTTCTCTTCAGACTGAATAAATGTTTTGCCTTTTACTAAAGATTTTTGTGGAGAGGAACAACTATGAGTTTATTCCAATTTTGTGAGGCTTGGGAACAGAAAAAAAATCTACTTTGGCAAGGTTGAACAGAGATTGGAGAGTTCATAGTGAGATTTACAGTATATATAAAAACATTTACAAACTATTTTTATACTGTTCTATATTTAATTAATTGTAAGCTTTCTCTCTTTGACCTGTCATTAAAATTCACACTTAACATAAATCTTAATGATGTGCCATTATTATGAAATTACATTACTATAAATAAATTAATATATTTATATATATATATATATATATATATATATATATATTAATTATAACAAGGTTTTTAAAACAGGAATGTGCCCTTGTAATATTATCCACAACAAATTGATCTAGTTAAAATATGTAAGTCAAATTTTTTCCTTACTTTAAATAGAGCAGGGAAGGGTTAGAACTCCTGTTGTGTTTATTGCCATCCAGCACTTCATCAACCACTTCTCAACAGCCCAAATCCCTGTTGCAGTGTGTGCAAACCTGGTCAAGAACTACAGGAAACGTTTGACCTCTGTAATTGCAAACAAAGGCTTCTGTGCCAAATATTAACACTGATTTTCTCAGGTGTTCAAATACTTATGTTCAGCAGTTCAAGACAAATAAATTCTTTACAAATCATACAATGTGATTTCCTGAATTTTTTTTTTAAATCTGTCTCAGAGTGGGAATGCACCTACAATGTGAATTTCAGACCCCTCCATGATTTCTAAGTGGGAGAACTTGCAAAATCGCAGGGTGTTCAAATACTTCTGTTCCTCACTGTATATATATATATATATGTGATTTTGCATTTCCGGGTAGGGAACGTGTGTGAGGCACCCTGTCAATCACTGGGTCCTGGCCGGTGATTATTCGCTGGTGCCCGGTGATTGCTGACCATCTCTGATGGAAAGGAGAACTGTTTGTAAACGAGACAGTTCTCTTCCCTGTCAGCTATTGCACACTGCTTTGGATGGCTGTGCACAGCACAGCCATCCAAAGCAGTGTGCTCACAGTGAAGCACACGGACACAGACACAAGTAAAAAAAGCACACAGTTAACCCTTTGATTGCCCCTCATGTTAACCTCTTCCTGCCCAGTGCCATTAGTACAGTGTCAGTGCTTTTTTTTAGCACTGATCACTGTATTGGTGTCACTGGGGATGTCAGTGTCACCAAGTCAGTTCCCCCCAGTGTCAGATTGCCAGCCGCAGTCAGACTATAAGTTGCTGATGCTGCCATTACTAGTAAAAAAAAAAAATCCCAGTATATATACACCACCATTTGTAAATGCTATAACTTTCACGTAAACCAAATAATTTACACGTATTGGAACATGTATATATAGCGCAAAAAAATAAAAAAACGCACAGGCAATCAAATACCACAGAAAGAAAGCTCTATTCGTGGGAAAAAAGGACATAAATTTAATTTGGGTGCAGTGTTGCATGACTGCGCAATTGTCAGTTAAAGTAACGCAGCGCTTTAACGCAAAAAATGGCCTGGTCAGGAAGGGGGGTAAATCCTCCTGTTGACAATAGCATCACCTGACAGGAAGTAAGGGTACATTTGAAACAGGAGCACAGGCAAAAATACAGCTCTGGTATGTGTTCTAGCCTTTTCATACTCTGCTAAAGAACTAAAAATATTTGTGTTGCTGTTAAGTACTCTAACCTTCTATCTAAAAATAATGTCAGCAGGACAGGAAATAATAGTAAATCTCTCCAACAGTCCCAGATAGCAGTAAAACATGCAAGGGTTTCAAATCTACCCCACTCCAAATCTGACATAGAAAGTTTTGGCTGGAAATACACTTAATATATTAGACTGATTTCCCCATTGTATTCTACCATATTAAATCATGCTTACAGTGAGCCTGTATCTACTGGCTGCTGAAATGAAAGATAAGGCAGAGGACATTAATGAGTGATACTTGTTAAAGTAGAACTATAGGCAAAACCTTTTTTTTTTCATTTTGGATAGAGTAAGGGAGGGTTATACCCGTTAGATATTATTTACCATCTGTGTCTCATTGCAGAGATTTACCTTCACATCTTGTGCCAAGCAGGAAGTGAGGGGAAATCCCTGCAAATTAAGGGAATCCCTTGGAGCCTCTAAGGTCTCCAGAACTAGTGTCTCCATTGATAGATTTTCCCTCTATTACTTTTCTGGGGACAACCTGAAATTTGGGATTTTATTTTATTTCACTTTCAAAGATAATGGTAAGGGCTCATGTACACTGCAGCTGCTAAACTGATGTTCAGGAGCTGTTCGGTGTTTTTTTCAGCAGCCGCTGAACTCTCCCTAAAGTTTTCCTATGTGTCCATGTACACATAGTCGTTTACAGTCATTTACAGGTAGTTGAGTTTACAGTCAGTTTTTTTAAGGCACCAAAATTGTGTTCAGGAGTAGATTTTACCGGTGTTTCAAACGTCAAACACGTGTAAATGCTTGTAAAAGTGGTTAACGGCGTTCATAAGCATTTGCGTTTAGAAGTGTTTTTTGACTGGTCCATATCCAGATGCTGTCCAAAGCCTTTTTTCATCATCAGAAATGCATGCAAAGCCTTTTCCATGTATTCAAATGGACCCGGTACACTAGCGCAGTCAGTTCCAGGTTTCACGTGAAGGACAGAAAAGACAGGTCATCTCAACACATACTGCTCTCTCTGCTTCTGCTCTCTCTATTTCTCTCAAAATGTCTGAAATAGTTAATTATTTACTATTTTTCAGTGCATTCTGGGCATTTGGGAGGGTCTCCTGAGGTTATCTTTTAAAAACACTTCTAAACACAAACGCGCATAAACGCGGTATGCAAACGCGGCTAAACTGATATTTTTTAACCTACGTTTTCCAGCAGTCAGTTTCCATCATTCAGAAGAGTTTTCCAAACCCCCTGTATACATGAGCCCTTAACAGGACAAATACGAAGGGTTACTCTCCCCAGCGAGGACACAGACAGCAATAAAAACCTAATAGGTGATCTAATCCATCTCCACTCATCATGAAGCAACAAATTTAGAAACTTCAGCTTTGTCCCTCGTTCCAAAATAGGTGATAAACTCATAAGAGATGTTGCAGGTTGGCAAAATGCAGCATAAATGATTAGAATGTTTTGGGGGGTTTTTTCAACTATGCTGCACTACTTTTTTTAGGAGGCATCAGCCTCTACATTCCCATAATTATTTAGAGGCTTACTATATTATGTACTTTTCTTTACAGCAACATAAATACAGCTCTAATCTTAAAGGTCACAAAGCAATAAATGAAAACATGCACTGTAATTCCTTCACCATATCAAGGATGTGAATCCTCAGCTATCTTGCCATGGAAAAGTACAGATATGTTCCTCCAATAGTGAATAAACACCTCACCTTGAGAATGAAGAGCTCAGTACTCCTAACACATATCTTTCTGCACAAACTTTCTGATAAGATATGCTGGCAGACATTTATTTATTAACTTCCTTACGTAACCTGACCTTGCCTTTAATTGTTGCCCTTACACATTTTTTAGGAACTTTTTTCATTTTCAAAATATGTCATTATGTAATCAAATAAAGAAAAGGGAAATATAAAGAGTGAAGGGAGTTGCTGTTCCAATTTTTGCTTTTTATAGCCATTATACTGTATTTGACCTTTTCTACCTACATGTCAAGGTAAACCTAACTTAAATTCCCCCTAAAAATTGTATCATACATATTTTCGGTTGCTCTTTCTGCTTCATGCTTTTAACTTTGTACTATTTCGTTTGATGTGATCAGCTTGTAAACCCTGTCATCCTGGAAGGTTGTCATCCTCATCCCTTCATTCTCAGTCCTTCCAACCTTCTGTTTACCAATATTCACTGAATTGAGTAGCTCTAGAAATGATGGCATTAAAGTTCAAATTAAAAATGTATAAACAATTTACAGACCAACAACCCCGCATATATAGAAAAACTTCACATGTGTGCAAGTACTGATTGCTACATATTAAACATCCACACGAAAAAAAACATATTTTCACATTTATAAAAATTTTATTAGCATTTGTGAAAATACCATGTTATTTTTTTAATAGGACTACATAATTTTTATTTCATAAGTCATCTTATAAGTTATGGGGGTCTTTGGTAAATTTTCAAGTGAATGATATACATTTTAGCAAGTGTGTGCAAAAAATGAAAAAAGTTGGCTCGACAATGAAAGTGTTGTTAAGGTTTGTTCACAGCATAGTTTCTGAAAACAGTGCATTAAATTATCATTTGTTTACATCCACAGGTGTTGCAGCTCTGGACTCAAACGTATCTGGAAAAATTGGTCTTCGAGCTATTGTGTATTACTTTTGCACCACAGTCATAGCAGTTGTTTTAGGTAATCATATTGAATTGTTACTTATTAGGGCTTTGCTGTAGTCTTTTCCACAACTTCATTTGAAAGGATAAGTGCACCTTAAATTGTATGTCAACTTTAGCAATAAATTCTCTTATTTGCTCCCTTTTGTTCTATTAAATATACAATTGAAAGCTTTTTTGACAAGTGCGAAAAATAGATTTTCATCCAGCCAGAAAGTCTTCAAATTCTTCTAAGTCCTGCACCTTGTCCCTGTCCTAGCCCGCACTCCATTCCATTAATTGGGAAGCCTGTCTTCACCTTGACATGCTATTGACAGGCTCTCCACTTATGTGAATACATTTTGACTACACATGTGTAAGGGATGAGGTGCAGGACTGAGAACATTTTGAAGAGTTGTTCTGCAGCACCGGACTGAACCTTGGCAAAATTGACTTTCTGTCACTGGCATCAGGATCTGAAATTGTGCGTTGAACCATTTGCTAAATAAATGGATTCTAAATGTATATGTTTGGTATACCCTGTTATAGGAGAGAATGGCCCTAGAGTGGATAGAAAAGACCCTTATTTGTTTCAGCATGACAGTGCATCTGTTCACAAAGTCAGGTCCATAAAGACATGCTTTGACAAGTATAGTTTGGAGAAAACCAAGTGGCCTGCATAGAGCCCTGAGATTAGAAGAAAAGAAGGAGCGCCCGATGTCCAAAAGAATGCACTTTTGATGGTAGATTAGGAGGCATTTATTGAGAGTAATGACAAGTACATCAAGCCAACGCATTTCAGGAGAAAAGACTCCCCCTTCTTCAGAGCTTTTTTTAAGAAGTTTAGAAAAAAATGAAGGATCCTTTCTCAATGGTTTGGATACAGGGCTTTACAGACTAAATAGAAAATCTGTAAAGCCCTATATCCAAACCATTGAGAAAGGATCTTTCATTTTTTTTTCTAAACTTCTTTAAAAAAAAAAAAACCCTGAAGAAGGGAGAGTATTTTTCTCCCGAAACGCATTGGCTTCATGTACTTGTCGTTAATCTCAATAAATGCCTCCTAATCCACCATCAAAAGTGCAATCTTTTGGACATTGGCACTCCTTCTTTTCTACTATTCCAAGTATATGTGTGGAAACGACCTCAAGGCCGTACCAGAAAGGCAGCAGCCTAAACCCTAAGAGGTTTTACCGCCAATATCCACCATTGGGTACAACTGACTGGAAATCTGCAAGGCAGAATGTCTTATGCAACATCAGTCCCTGACCTCAAAACATTTTTTGGCTGAAGAGCTACAAATTTTTTACAGATGCACTTTTGTGGAAATCCTTTCTAATCCTTTATAATCAAAAAGGGGGGCCAACCCCATTTAAGCTCATTGTTTTGAAACAAGATGTCCAATGACTTTGTATACAGGTGTCTTGGTCAGGTACTGTATACACAAACCTTTTTTCATGTCTTTATATTGATAGGACACATAGCCTTTGTTCAAGAGAAGAAATGTTTTCATCTATATTCTAGCGACATATTAAGCAAAAAGACAACATTATTAAAAATGTGATGAATTGCTGTTGTGAATATACTGCACATTTTTCATTTGATGCACTAGAAGTTTATTTTAAATTTTTACTTACACCCTTAAAATCAACATGTATATTTATACAGGAATTGTACTGGTGGTGAGCATCAAACCAGGTGTGTCTCAAAGTGCTGAAGATATCGACAGAACAGGAAGTACTCCAGAAGTAACTACAGTTGATGCACTACTTGATCTGATTAAGTGAGTTAAAAACTTTTATTATATGCTCAGGGATACTATTTATTAGAAGTTTTTATTTCATCCTATTCATCGTTTGCAGAAAATAGTCATTACTCTTGTCTAATATATTTAAAGAGACCCAGAATTTCATCATCTGTAAAACATACAATAGTAATACCCAACAGCAAAATGTTGGCTTTAGATAGACTTTCATCATTCACAAAGACTTTTTAGCATGTTTAAAATCTCTAAAAGTGAGGAACAGTCCACACAAAATTGGTATTCACAGTTTTGGTAGATGTTGATGAATTCAGTTTAGCTTTTTACCTTTCAAGAACTGTGTTGTTAAGATCTCTGTGGGCTAATTAAGGCCCATTCACACTTGGCAATTTGGAATCCCTGGCAGACTGGCCTCAAATCTGTCCATGATTCCAAATTGCAGTAAAATGCATGACATGTGTTTGGGTGCCGTAATTCTTAATAGAACCCAAATGCTGTGTGATTTTGCCATGATTGTCACACAACAGAATGGCGTGGAAATTGCGACAAAACATGTGAATCTCATCACGTGTGAATCTCATCACCCAAAAAGGAGCAGGAGCTTCTTTTGGGTGACAAGCGCACATACGGCAGCCCATTGAAGCGAATGGACTGACCTATGTGCAACATGCGTACACACGTATGAATCACACTTAGAAAATTACGAGCAAGAACACTCATTCCAGCTAGAGGGGATTTGAACAGGGCCTAACACCAGCCCATTGGGCTGGCTATATGCAGTTCCTATGCATAGACAAGGCAGTTTACCTGATGTCCTATTGCTTCAGTTCAAACCAATGCGTTGAGTTGGTGTGTAATAAAAAAGCAATAGGACATGTTGCATTTTTGCAACCCATCACAACACGCTGCCACGTAGAGAGTTTCACAGAATTTAATGTTAAAGTTATCCAAAGGAAAAAAAAACAAGCACTGCAATGTGTTTTACCAATGCCTTGTCAAGTGTGTACATAACACACACCTTAACCTGTTGGTGTGTGATTGTGCCCTGTATTGGGTGGGAGTTGTTTGTTCCCTAAGAGATTTGAGAATCCAGTGGGATTCTTGCTCTTCAATATCTGATATATGAACTTTGGGTGATCTGACCCCTGAAAAATGATCACTTTATATTAACCATAGTTGCAGGAAGATTGAAAAGCTCAGCGCGGCAGTGCTAGGGTTATTGCTAGGATTGATTAAAAATAAGATCCTGGTATGCTTTGATTTCACTATTGTGAGCTGAAAGGAACAAACATAGTTTGTACAGTCTTTGTTTATGTACTCTTTTACTGAAGAAATCTATTTATTATTTGTTTTGGAATAACGTGTACTTTTCCTTTGTATTAACTACTCTGCTTTGCATAGAACTAAGGCAATATTCCAGGTATTAATCATGGTATAATTGCTTCATATTGGTTACCAGCTCTGTTTACTGTTGCTCAACTGCAACAATTACAGTAAATGGATACAGTTCAGATATATTGATCCCTTCTTATTTGAATAAAGATTTGGGCATATCGATGCACTGTTATGCTGACTTGAGTTGATTTCTCATTCTGCCTGCCACCAAAACATAGCATTATGGGCAATCCGCATTCAAACACTGGGCATATTTACATTTAAAGAGCATCTATAGTCTCGGGTCAATAGGGCTGAATTTGCTATAGGCAGTTCACTTAGCAGGGGAATTTTCCCCAAAGCTTAGTGAATGAGGTGAACCTCTGCCGACTTTCATCCACCAGCCATATGCAAGCAAAAATGCTGGTTTTTTTTTTCATTTGTGATTGGGTATTCTTTTCAAAGTGAAATTCCACCACGATCACTAAGCTCTAGGGAAAATTTCCTTGCAAGTCACAGACTGCGCAGCTTTGCTTAAATATCATGGCACCAAGACCCTAAAGCTAAGATTCCTTGACAGGTACTAGCATTCAGTCATATGACTGGCACCAGGCATTAATCTAATGCTGAATTGCACACAAATATAGAAGACACACATAATAGCAGAACTCCAACCATAACAAAAAAACAAGATACAATGAATTGCTCTTTAAAACATAAAATAATACAGGCTTTTTCTGCAAAAAGAGAAGTATGACCAAAGTTGGTTGTGGCCATACTTCTCTTCTGGGTCACAAGAGTGCACTTATTTCTGCACTCTTGTGACTTAGATTCAGCCGACTGCGGGCTAAAGCCCACTCTCAGCTGATGTCACAATGTCACAGAGCCAGTTCAGTCTCTGCAAGGATTCTGACAACAATGACTGGATCCATCTAGATTTCTGACGCATTTAACTGAGAGCCTGAGCCAGCCACTCCTGCCCCCTCCACAGCCCGGAGCTCCAGTGAGCACTGGAGGGACAGAGCAGAGAGCAGGTGACTGTCCAGCCTCTCCATTGGGAGTCAAGCCTGAGAACTGAGTGATCAGCTCAGTTCTTGTTCTTTAAATCCTGCTCTTCTTCTTTAAACTTGGAAGCTGCAGGATCATCATGACAGCCTGTCAACTAACTAAGCAATTTATTTTTTGTCTCAGTTACACCCTTTCTTCTTAGGGCTCATTTACACAGGCACTCAGCCCAAGACAACATGAAGAGCCCTTTGTTTACCGTACTTTTTTGTCCTAGCACTGAGCTGGACACGCATTGGTTTTACAAACTCCCAGTCATTATGACAGGGACAGGTGCGCAGCCCTAGATGTTCAGATTTTGCATTGGGACAACGCTAGAATAGAAAAAGTGAACAAAGGACTCTTCATGCTGTATGCTACTGTGAATGCATGTGAATGAGTTCTTCATTTTTTTTCCAGATTAATCTGTGAGGGTAAATCTCTCCACTGAGTTCACAAAAAGCAATAAAACCTGACACTCTAACTGTTACCTGTGCAATTTAAAACTAAAAACATTCTGTCTGTAGTTGAGTGTTAATGCTTAAACAAAACGTTTTCGTACCCATTATGGAACAAGTAAATAGAATTATTGTCAGTGCTTTAATGACAAGAAACCACTATAAAAAATGTAGGAGGAGAATATTTTATTGTAGGCAATGTCCATCCTAAACTGCTTTTCTTAGAATAAAAGGTACATAGCATCATAAACTAGTGTACTCATTTTATCTTTGAAGATTTAGATATTTATGAAAAGATTATCCACAACATCTAGAGATATTACCCAACTTTATGACTTTAACTGTTGATGAATAACAGGGAATGTGTGATAAATTACTATGTTGTGTGAAACATCACCTGTACAGGTCAATTCAGGAGCTTTACATACAGTTTAAGGAATGTTACAGACTTTAATTGGGATAAAAATAACATGGTGTGAAATAACGTGATCATTTTAAATGATAGTTATTTTCCAGCAAAGCAGAATACTACCAATCCGACTATAATTTTCACTAGATAATTTTGACTTCTCTGTCATCTACTAGTGTAACATTTTGTTGACATCTCTAATCACAGAGGGGCTAATTTACTAAAACTGGAGAGTGCAAAACCTGGTGCAGGTCTGCATGGTAGCCAATCAGCTTCTAATCTTGTTCAAATAAGCTTTGACAAACAAAAACCTTGAAGCTGATTGGTTTCTCTCCATAGCTGCACCAGATTTTATACTCTCCAGTTTTAGTTAATTAACCAGAGTGTTTCAGGGCTCCAGGGGTTATCTGTGTTTATTGGATTTAAATTTAACATATAATACATTTTTGTACATATCTACAGTTTAACAATGTTTCATCCTTATAAAGACTTTTTCTATACATTTAAATGGTAGTGAGCCAAAGTAAAGGGGCTGTTGTCTAATATTTAGTCTAAAGTCTGTGAAATTACTGGTAAATCCTCATTATGTTACACACATAGTTACAGCAAGGCAACGTTTCGGAGTCTCGCAGGACCCCTTCATCAGGCATGTGACTATGAAGGGGTCCTGCGAGACTATGAAATGTTGCCTTGCTGTAACTATGTGATCATTCATTAAAACTTTTGGACCCATATTGGTGATCCTCGGTGTGCTGGTGTACATTCTCCCTTGCTGATTCTGTTCGGTTCCAGCCGACAGTTGCTGCAGCACCCACTTATACACACAGTCATTTTTAACGCAGGAACGTGTGCATTTAGATTGTACACTTGCATCTAGGAGAAGGTAACACCAGTTTTCTTGTACTACAAGCTTAGCCTTAGCAGATATTGTCTTATTAGAGATACTGTAAATCTGTGATCATGCATGTTACCAGAAAGATGACTACACATGGCTTGTTTTTCTTTTCATTCAGCCAGCAGGCTAAACAAAATAATTGAACTAATGTGCAGTGGGGAAGATTCCCTCCATCCACCCTGATTGTGTGGATGGGGGGAATCTTCCCCACTGCACAACTGTATTCTGAGATCAGGGAGACTCCCCCACTGCCAGAATACACAGATAGGTGCTGTAGCCTCTGATCAAGAGGCTTTTATCCAACAGAACTGTTGAGCATATGTTGGTTGGTAGATCGACTTCTGTTCATGTGCAGTGGCCACACATGTATCGTCATTCGGTTGGTTCAGCAATAACCATTTATTATCCAGTTGCCCCTCTAATGTGCCCACTGGCATCACCTGCACCTTTGACATCATTTTCTGTGATAATACCAGCCTCAATGGACTTAAAGGAGAAGTATAGAAAAAAAGTTTGTTTGGCCCTACTTCTCCTGTGGATCACAGGAATACAGCTGCTCCCACCCCCTCCACAGTTTGGTGCACCAGTGAGTGCTGGGGGTGCAGAGGAGAGAGCCGATGACTGACTGTCACATCGGACCAATGCTGCATTCACCTAGGTGAGTATGATATAAAAAACTCATACTTCTCTTTTAATGTATTCTTACAGTCCTCAAACCTTTTTGAGTTTTGTTCTCTATCTGAGGTCCAAACAATCAGAAGTGAAAGGATGCTCCATCACGACCAACCTGACCACTGTGTAACTGCTCCTGTGTGCCTACCAACATTTCTTGTAGGCAGCTGTACCGAACATACCCAAATTATATTTACTATGTTGAGTTGGAAACTGAATGCCTTCTCTGCCTTATCCTATTGCTTTCTTTCTAGGAATATGTTTCCAGAAAATCTGGTCCAGGCATGCTTCCAGCAGGTAAAAACAGCTGCTTTCTTCTATTGATATTTATATAAGTGTGGTCAATGAGTTTTAACTATCTACTTTTATTTTATGCACAATGTAACATACAGATGTTTAAACTTAATAGAGCCTCTAGATCAGCAATTACTTATATGAATTGTAAAAGGTCTATTGGCTTATTTGGCCCCATTAGTATGAGTGATCAAAACTGAAACGAATAATCTTTGCAAAATAAATATTTTGTTGGTGAAATCCACCTTTATAATATTGCACAAGGAAAAGTACTTGAAGCTGGATGTTTACAGTTTTATAGTTTAAATGCTGTACAGCAGGCATCACTAAATGGCGGACCGGGGTCCAGATGCAGTCCTGCCATTTAAGAGCCTTTTCTTCCCCCAGCTGTCTCATTTTCATCCTCACAGAGCAGGCAGTGGGAGGCAGGACAGTTCTGGATGGAGGGTGGGAGCTGCCCAAGGTTAACAAGCAGGTGATTGGTTTCTAGGGTGAAGGGCAGTCCCAGGAATCAAACACTGTCTGTCAATCACTGTCTGTGTAAGGTAGGACAGTGGGGGGGCTAAGTTAAAGGGGCTAAGGACATTAGTGTGAAGGGGGGCCAAGGACAGTAATGTGGGGTCTAAGGACTGTGGTGTTTGGGGGCTGAGGATATTAAAGTGGGGGGGAACTGAGGACAGTAACATGGGGGGGCTGAGGACAGCAATGTGGGGGGCTGAGGACAGTAACATGGGGGGGCACTGAGAACAGTAACATAGGGGGTCTGCGGACAGTAACATAGGGGGCTGAGGATAGTAACATGGGGGGGCTGAGGACAGTAATGTGGGGGGGCTGAGGACAGTAACATGGGGGGGTCTAGAGACAGTAATGTGGGGGGATGATGTAAAAAGGGGCAGAGTATTTTTCAGTGAAGGGGGCACATGACAGTACTGCTGGGGGGATGTGAAGTCAAGGAAGTGTGAGAACACTACTGTGAAAGGGGTGGAGGGGGGTGATGTAAAGGGGGAGCTGAGGACACTCATCAACAGGGATCTTGCTGTGAATGAGGAGGGGACTGTGAAGTGGGGATTGAGGACACTGATGTGAGAACAGGTTCAGATGTGTACATGTGCATTTGGTATTGTGGGTAGGTCAGCACTACCTGCTATAAACCTGAAGAAGTTCCTGACCTTTTTCCTTTTTTTTCAAAATCGCACCGCAGTAACACGTGGTTTGGCATGCACAAAAGTGCACCACATGGGGCCTACATGAGATTTGGACCTCTGATGCATGCAAATTTTACCTTAGTGAATTTTGATTCAATACCTCTGCTGTACAGTTTATCAGTCATAATAACTGTTCCAAAATAACTTTTGTATTACAGTACAAGACCAAGAGAGAAGAGGTGAATCCAACAAAAGATCCTGACAAGAACAGTACAATTGAGAAGAATAGCACTCTAGATTTGTTTGCGACAGAACAACAGGTGATGTGCTGATCTAAAGTAATGACAAAGTATTATTATTATTATACTTTTATAGATTATAGATTTATATAGCGCCGAAAGTTTACACAGTGCTTTACAACATAAGGGCAGACAGTGCAATCACAATACAATTTAATACATAGATTCTCATAAAGAGAACAGGTTCAGCACTATGAGAGTACATGTATTATCAGGTTTAGGCCAATATTCCGTTTAAGAGTATGTATGAGAAAAATAAAAAAAAATTGAAAAAAGTACATCACTGCAATTCATACACATAGTCCCATGTTTTGCCTATTGCTGCTAAGCTGCAAATACAGATAAAATACCTATTGATTCTGCCAGATATCCAGTAACCCCTCTAATTTTCTGTTTGAGCTGACAACACAGTGCTTCTGTTGCATTGAAGCCCCAAGCAATGTTGTCAACTCTGATTAGTTCAACTATGTGGACTACAGATTACCCCAGCCAGGGCTATCAATGGGCAAACTATGCAGCCGCTTAGCACACACTGCCACCTAGGGCACAGCCACGGCTGCTGGGAGGGAGGAGGTGGGGAAGCATCCAGCAGCAGTGACAAGCCAGCGGGACAAGCCTGCTGGCTGCAGTGGCATGGATTGATTGGAGTGTATTATTGTAGAGAACAGTATGGCAGTCTATATTAGTGGAGTGTATAGGGAGGTGTGGTGAGGCAGTGTAGAGCAGTGCTGTTTGTCGGTCCAGTAGTTCAGCAGGTAGCAGTGGTGAGGAAAGAGGGTGATGGAGGGTGATCGGTGAATGGAGGAACAGGGCTGGCAGTGGAGTAGTGCCGTGGATGGAGTTGTGGATTGGGGATGGCAGATCCTGGTGATCGGTGCTGTGCCCGACTCTCGGTGACAGATATGGAGTCTGTGTCCCTGGATTCCTCCCTTGTGTCCCGATCCCCGGGGCCGATTTCACCCCCCAGCCAAACGGATGTACTTCAGGAAGAGATTGGTCTCTGCTGCGGCCCAAATCGTGATCACCAGGTGCCCCCTCTCTGCCTGACTCCTCCCGGCTCTGATCAGTACAGAAGGCTCTGATCCATGGTCAATGTTCACCCTGTCCCCACCCCATAGAATACTACACCCCTCACTTTACACCCCACCTCATAAAACCATGCACCATCACTGCTCACCCTGTCCCAACCTCATAGAACCCTGCACCCCTCACTATACACACTGCCCCCACCCCATAGAACACTGCACCCCTCACTATACACTCCCCCCCACTTCATAGAACCCTGCACCCGCCACTGTTCACCCTGCCCCCCATAGAAAACTTTACCCCTCTCTGTTCACCCTGCCCCCACCCCATAGAACCCTGCACCCCTCTCTGTTCACCCTGCCCCCACCCCGTAGAACCCGGCACCCCTCACTATACACACTGCCTCAACCCCATAGAACACTGCATCCCTCACTATACACTGCACCCCCACCTCATAGAACCCTGCATCCGCCACTATTCACCCTGCCCCACTCCATAGAACCCTGCACCCCTCTCTGTTCACCCTGCCCCCACCCCATAGAACCCTGCACCCCTCACTATACATACTGCCCCAACCCCATAGAACACTGCACCCCTCACTATACACTCCACCCCCACTGTTCACCCTGCCCCACTCCATAGAACACTGCACCCCTCACTGTTCACACTGCCCCCATCTCATAGGACACTGCACTCCACACTGTTCACCCTGCCCCCACTCCATAGAACCCTGCACCTCTCAATATAAACCCCACCCCCACCTCATAGAACCCTGCACCTGTCACTGTTCATCCTGCCCCCACCCTATAGAACCCTGCACCCCTCACTATACACACTGCCCCCACCCCATAAAACACTGTATCCCTCTCTGTTCACCCTGCCCCACCCCATAGGACACTGCACCCCATACTGCTCACTCTGCCCCCACCTCATAGGACACTACACCCCATACTGTTTACCCTGCCCCCACTCCACAGAACCCTGCACCCCTCGCTCTACACCCCACCCCCACCTCATAGACCCATGCACATGTCACTGTTCACCCTGCCCCCTCCCCATAGAACACTGCACCCCTCACTTTTCACCCTGCCTCCACCCTTCACTATTTACCCTGACCTACTCTATAACGGTCTGCTCTGCTCACTATTCACCTAGTCCCCACACTGTATAACATTGTACCACTCACTATTAACCCTGCCCCCACACCACACTTCCCCAGATTGTATAACACTGTACCGAAACTATATACTCTTCTCCAACCCTATACTGATCCATTCTGTTTAACACTGCACCCTGATTGTAGAAAGGAGCACCGATCATCTCTATATATAACGCTCCACCCATTACTATGCACCCTTCCTCCCACCCTATGCAGCTGCTTTTCATACTGGGAAGGCCCAATTTGTATAACACTGCACTTTGGTATGTACCCTACTCCCTTCTTTTACTGGGGGACCCCACTTTTAAATGCTGCACCCCTTTACTATGAGCACTGCCCCATCATAGTACTAGGGAGCCCCATTCTGCATAACCCTGCACCCCCTTACTCTGTACCCAGCCACATGCCCTCATTAGTACTGGGGATCCCTACTCAGCTGTACTACCTTATGTACCCTGCCTCATCTCATTCTGCTCACTAGTAGCACTAAGAAGCCCCACTCTCTAGAACACTACACACCTTTCTACTTACCCTGCCCCCACCTCATACTATTTTTTCTTGGTACTGGAGAGACCGATCTCTTTAACACTGCACCCTGCTGCAGTACACCACATCCTTACCACAATACTACTTTCTCATCTGCTCCAGGTATGGTGGCCCCACTCTTAAAAATACTGCACTAAGTAATATTTCCTTTTCCCCTTCTATAATACTTTGTTGGGGGTGGAGATGAAGTTACATTGGTGGGGGGCCCAAGAAAATGTTTTCCCAAGGTCCAAGCAATATTAAAGATGGCCCTGGACAACAGTGACAGCTGGCGGGAGAAGGATGTGAGGAGCTGTCCGTCTGGCCGCAGTGGCAGGGATGGATGGCAGGGTTGTTTTTTACAGGAACGGGAGTGGTGCTGGCTGTGGGAGCAGAAGTACTAATGGCGGGGTGGGAAGGAACATTGAAACAGCACTGCAGGAGTGGAGATGATACAACAGCGATGCTGGAGCAGGAGTGATGCTGGCGGGGATCAGAAGGAAAACTGAGGAAGCACCAGGACACTGTTTGGTGGAGAGGGAATCTTGCTGGCTGGTGAATAGGAGGAGGATGGTGGTGAAGGCTGTAGGGAAGGGGAAGGGAGTATATCTGAGTGTAGGCTATGCTAGCTGAGGCAGAATTAAAACACAAAATTGGCGCCGCTGGGTTTACACTTGACAGGTGGGTGTGGCTGAAGAAGTTTTTATTTATATATTTCAGGTACTTATATAGTGCTGTCAATTTATGCAGCACTTTACATATATATTGTACATTCACATCAGTTGACAGATTTGGTGGCAGGCTAAGTCGCTGTTTGGAGGATATGACAATGGATTATAGGGGTATGTGAAAGGTGACATGATGGGGGGGGGAGTTTTGGAAGGGGGGGGTGCACATAGCTGGCCTTTCCTAGGGTGCAATATAGTCTAGCACCGGCCCTGCCTATGTATAAAGATGAGGATGGGGGGTGTTCTGCAGTGTTACCGCATCCCCAGTCCTAAGGTGATAATGCTGTTCGTCCATAGATACATTACATTGAGCATTGTGAGCATTATCACTCTACATCAGAAAGTATGTAATTGGCAGGATCACCAGATGAAAATAAAGTTTAAAAAATATGAAAATAGAAAACTAATGCAGCCACCTCTTTTAAGGGCTGGTAAGCTGCAACATATTACATTTTGTTTTCAGGTTATGACACACTTTAAATGTTAAATTGTAATTACATTTTAAACTGTTTGCACTCAGTGATGATGTATGTGAAAATTAAGAAGCAATTGTATGATTTTTGTGGGGGGGTTGGCACAGAATAGTACACTAATCAATATTCTGTGAGCTATACCTATGTATAAATAAAATCCATTACATTAATATGTGTATAATTTGAAACATTCTTGATGCATGCCACAGAACCAAACAAAGGAATACAAGCTTGTTGGCGTCTACACCGATGGAGTGAATGTCTTGGGTCTTATTGTCTTCTGCCTTGTATTTGGGATTGTCATTGGGAAAATGGGAGAAAAAGGTCAAATTCTGGTGGACTTTTTCAACGCATTGAATGAAGCGACAATGCAAATAGTTCAGATTATCATGTGGTAAGTATTTTATTCATGATATGAAATGGAAACTTTTTCACACTGCAGTACAGCAAGTTTTATGAAGATAGTACACTCAACATCGTACTCTTGTTAAAGTCTTTTTTGGAGTGAATGGTAATAAATGTGGTTGTACTTGTTTCCTGGCCTACTGCTCCACCCTCCCCATCATGTCATAGTAGACCTTTTAGAAATTAGCTGCAGCACAACAAATTTAATATTGCCGTAAATGCCCTGCTGTACTTTATCCAACCGCAGTCTGAAAAGCCACCAATTATTTTGGTTTGATTTTTTAAAACTGTCAGAATGGTTGGAAGGGAAACTCCCACCAAAACATTTTTACTTTTAGCTGGACTGTGTAGGGTTTAGAACCTCTGTCTGGTTCATAGAGCTACACATGAAATAAATTTGGAAGGATAGTGCTGGAACCTTATACATATCCTAATGTTATAGGGGGTAAAAGGTTTTTGACTAGAATGTCTGGATTCTTAGGACTGACAGCTTCCCCACACTAAAGAACCTCCACAGTCTCCTTTGTTTATGACTGAGGGAATTTGAGATTGAAGCACCACATCGCATTATAATTATCCAGACACATTTATTTCAAGGTAAGATGAGATAATTTTTTTCACACAGCCAGGCTGAACCAGCTGCTAGCCAACTTGGTTTTTTAACAGTTGGGTCATAATTTTTGTTACATTGTAAATATTGTCCAGCCTCTCTGTGAATTAAATGCCAGCATTTTAGCCCCATTGAAGAGGGAGTGTTGAGCCTCTGCAATGCGTTGATTTTGTTTCAGAGTTTATCTCATCTTACCTTGGAATAAATCTGTGTTTGAACAATTAAACTTTGGTGTGACACAAATTCCCTCTTATGGCTGCCTGTTACTCTGCTAGAGAGAGTTTCTTTGATTTACGGTCTCAAATGTCAGAGGACCCCCCATTGTGAAGAGCAATCCAAGCTTTCACAGCTGTCACCCGAATAGTCCCATGCGAAGACTTTCCATCTATTTCACCTCTGATGACTTTCATAAATATTAGTATTTCTCTTAAAGTGGAACTTTAGGCAGAAAATTAAATCCTGCTAGATGCCTTTAGGTTGACCCCTTTTGCAGGTATAGCTATTTAGAACATTAAAAATAGGTGTCTATACTGTTTCAAATCCAGTAGTATACTGCCCCACCCAGCTCTGCACATGCTCAGTTGCTCTCTATTTTTTGACACTGCTGAAAATGTCTGATCTGCTGACAGCCTAGAAATTTCCTGCTGCTCATGGGCTTTGGGCTTCAGCAAATCGGCAGCCTCCAGCAAGAAAAAGCAGGACAATGCTGGAGCAGATTTATAGCACACACTAATTTTGGTAGCATAATTATTAATGTGCAGTTACTTGCTAAAAAACATAATTTTTTATCAAGTTGTTATGGGTAAAGTTCTGCTTTCACTTTTTGGCCTGGTGACAGTTGCCACTATGGAATATATCCAACTGAGGCAATAGCCCTTGAAAAAATGGCCAAATAGCATAATATTCCACACAAAACAAAAAAATGCAAAAGTTACATGTGGACACATAGGAGAAAAAGTATGCAGTCTTGTGTATACTGTATGTAAATGGAAGTGTCACAGTTAAAGCATTATTAAACCCACAACAGTAAAATCAGTCGGTATAGGCATGCTTGTTATACTCACTTTGGAACCTAAGGGGTTAATCATCTGCATTGTGTAAAATGGCTGTTTGATCCTGTCTTCTCTGATCCTCCCTTCCTTCTACTGTCCCCAATCCATCTGCTGATAGTACAGAGCCCTAGGAGTCATTCTGCACATGCTCTGTTTGGTGTGTATTGCTAGGGAGGTTTTTTTTTTTTTCTCTTGGGAAGATAAATGTGATCAGCACAGTACCAATCATCTCTGTCTGGTCAGAGGGCCAGGGGTTATGCAGGTTATTGTCATAGGACAATCAGAGGAGAATAAAAACTCCTCCTACACACTTTAACCAGTGCTCTGCTGAACACTGATAGAAGTCACAAGATTGCTATATACTGCTGATGAGAAAAAGGTATTTAACAGTTCATATTTACTAAAATAATTGCATGTTTCCATGTTCTGTGTACTGTGGGAGACCATATATAGTCCTGGGTTTAGTAGCACTGTAGGTCAATCTTTCTGTTTAGTGTTATGGCTAGCTTATAGCTATTTAGTAGATATATGATGTGATAAAGGGGGTCAATCACAAGTTAAGGAGGTTTAGCTTTGCACAATATGCTTTTTACATCTATTGTTTTTTCTTTGTATGCTAATTCAATCTTTCTAGCATGGCTGGAAAAGGAACGCTGGGTACTCTATAACAATATGAGTAGTTTCTCATAATTCTTTAGTCACACGCTATTATCAGTGTCATATCTGTAGTCATTTTCTGCCTTAAAGTCACATTTTAAATGCTACTCTTAAATGTATGCTAGGTACATGCCCCTTGGTATCTTGTTTTTAATTGCGGGGAAGATCATTGAAGTTAACGACTGGGAAATATTCCGCAAACTAGGACTTTACATGGCAACTGTACTCAGCGGGTACGTATCTCTATGAAATATGATGTTATGTTGCATTGTTACTTCACATGTAAATTAATATGCTTTCAATTTTAATATACATTATGTCATCAGACCTGGACTGGTAGATTATGGAATTTTCCAGAAAGACTAGGGCATCCTAGCTCACTGCACATTTTGCACCCTAACACTTATGTGGTTTCTATAACTTATATACTTTAGTGACATAAACCAAAAGGTTAATGTGTATATAAAGCCAAAGTCTTTTTTATATAATATGAAAGGGTTAGAACCTCATTCACTTTGCCTGTCTGTGTCCCCGCTAGGGAGATTCTCTCTTACTATTTGTCCTGGTGGTTCAATACCGAAAGCAAGAGGAAATCCAGCATTTTTGAGTTGTCACCAGAAAAGGAATCTTCTAATGGGGAAACCAGCTCTGATGGGGCCTAATGGGGGATTTTCTTTCACTTTTTGCTGTGTCTTGGAGATAAGAAGTGAAGGAAAATCTCCATGATGAGACAACCAAAAAAACTGACATTCCCCACCATTCCATTTTCTGTACAAACCTGAACATTTTTTTGAGTTTGAATTTTATACATTTTAAAGTATATGTATAGCGAAAACTTTTTTTAAGATAGAACATTAAATAGTTCAAATTCCGTACAGTTAGCTTTAGGAGTTGATGCTCCATCAGGGAGATCTCCTGTGTTCTGGACACAACAGGAAATTAGAGGAAATCAAAGTGAGAGGATTCCCCTTTTATGCAAATAAAATAAACAGTAAAATAAGCTGATAAGAAAAATATTATTGAATTAGAAAGAAAAGTAAGTATCAGTTAGAGCTCCCCTGAATAGTTTAAATATAACATCTAAAGTAGAAGAAGAATAACCTACATATTATAATGACAACAAACTTTTCATTAACCAGTGGATCTTTTTTTCCAGACTTGCCATCCATTCTGTTGTTATTTTGCCACTAATATATCTTGTGATAGTTCGAAAGAATCCTTTCAAATTTGCAATGGGCATGGCTCAGGCTCTACTGACAGCACTCATGATATCATCTAGGTAAGTATTACTCATCTTTTACTATTTCAAAGCATTTAAACATTAAAAACAAATATGAACACATGCGTGCATTACAGCTTATTGCCTAAAACTCACTGCTTGTTTCCGGATTGTTTGCTCCAGTCATGTAGATTCTTTACATAACACATCTCTGCAACTGAATCTTGATATCAGCCTGCTGCAACCCCATATACAGTACCAACAACAGGGGCTAGTGTTAGGGGCTAGTGTTAGGAGCTTGCATTTCTGTTAACAGTAAATATGCTAACAGGAGGAGGCTTCATTAGAGTGCTGATGTTCCCTTTGTAGGTATGTATTCACCTGTGTTCTTTGCCAATCTGTGCTGTAACTCCAATGGAGGTCAGAAATCAGCTTTGCTGTCTGGCAAGTGTTCCCAGATTACATAACTAGCTGCACAGAATTACAAATGATTTAGCAGGTAAGGGTATTCCAGTATATGTATTTTCCCTGTGTGCTAGTAGTACCAGTATGAAGCAGTAGCTGTTTGTACTAGCCATGATACATCTATATCCAGTGTGGTGCTTAGCAGAAAGAATGGGGCTTAGCCAGAAGTAAGGAGCTTGGCAAAAACACAACTGCAGAACACTCATGAAATGTAAGGCATTATTAACATGTACTTGAGAGTCTATCTCAAATATAGCATCTGGAGGTTATTATAGGACATTTCACATAGCTGAGCCATCATCGACCTTTAAAGCCCGGGTTAGAAGACCCAGCATGCCCATGAACCTGCCCATTTTGTAAATATGATATTCCCATTCTAGTTCAATAATTAATACATTTAATTTAACCAAGAACTTGGTAGTGCCTGGACTACCATTTTGGAAAATATGATGTCTTGATTAGACTGACTATGATGGAGGGTGAATGTGTTTTGTAAAGAAGGAAATCCACATAGAACCCGAGGGATAAGAAACATAATTTATATGAGTTTAAAGGGCCAGCAACAGAAAGTTAGAGATAGTTGTCATAGAATGGTGTGCAGAGATCTTGCTTTGTTCTATGAATAAATGGATTACATGCAAACTTTGTGAATTCTGATTTGAACTGAGCCATGGAAAGTTTGCATGACAAGATTGTGCAGCTATATAGGATTAATCATCAAAGAAACAATTAGAAATTGTGTACATCAAAAATCAGAAAGAAAATAACTAATAGGTAGTGTAAAATTACAATCTGACACTTGTGTCTTCTGATATTATAGGGCTAAACCTTCACCCTGAAGTCAAATTATTGGGCAGAGAACTTAGACTTTGACAAACCTTATTAATATTATTCTGTTTTTGTTTGACAGTTCAGCAACGTTACCTGTAACTTTCCGCTGCGCTGAAGAAAAGAATAGGGTGGACAAAAGGATCACAAGATTTGTTTTACCAGTAGGCGCCACAATCAACATGGATGGCACAGCTCTGTATGAGGCAGTGGCTGCAGTCTTCATCGCACAGTTAAATGACATGAATCTAGATGTCGGTCAAATTGTCACAATAAGGTGAATATGTGTACAATGTAATTTAACAGAAGTTTACATGTAGCAGTGCAAGTGTTCCCATCATTAGTAATTGAAGTGACTGAGTAGTGATTGGAACCTGAATGGCTTTAGTGCTTTCTGAGGCAATGACATGAGACAAGTATTCAGATCAGGAGTGTTGACTTTACTTCTGACTTTCTAATTTGATTGCATGTTCTGGCTCAGTGAATCAACAATTATTAAAGTAGGGCAGCTAATATTTTTATTTAAAATTTTTCTCAGTACAGGTTTCCTTCACAAAATGAACTCTAATCCAGCCCTCTTTACTTTCTTAATCCTCTGTGTAATGTTAGTACTGAGCTTAGATGCAGATTTGACCCTCCTAAAATTGCTGCAGCTTGTGGAGGGCATAATAGGGTTCACAAAGCTTAACGTCCTGGTATCTCTGTTTCTAACTGCACATGCGCAGAGGCCTGTACAAGTCGGTTTAAAGAGGTTTGAGCTTGCATTTGAGGTATGTTACTACACAATATAATGAGGGGGCAGAGAAAGGTCGGACATGGGTCATAGTTTTAAATATACTCTTACAATTTAGGAATATGATCTTATTCTCCATAGCAAAACCCTTAGGGCCCCTGGCTTTCTAGCGTTCAGCAATCCTACTACTGAGACCAGTGGACCTGTAAAATGAACATAGAGCAATATGTTAATTGCTTCCCTAGCACTTTTATAGAGGTGCTTGAACTCTTCATGCATGTCATAAATCACTATGAGGGCAGACCATATTAGACCTAGTGCTAGGTAATATAGTTACATAGTTAGTCTGGCTGAAAAAAGACAAAAGTCCATCCAGTTTAACCATTAAAAAAAAAAGTTATAATCCTATACCGGGTGTCGGCAACCCGCGGCTCCAGAGCCGCATGCGGCTCTTTTTCACCTTGGCTGCGGCTCCGGAGCACACTGCCCACCAGGTGACAGGCAATAGGGCAGCAATGGGCAAACTACGGCCTGGCGGACCTTTTAATCCGGCCCGCGGAGCTAGGCTCCCGCTAGGCTCCTCTCACAGTCCGCAAAGGTAAGTGAATTGACACAGGGGGGACTTGGGGACTTAATATGGGGGCTGAATTACTATAGGGGGGATGAATTACTATATGGGGGATGAATTACTATATGGGGGATGAATTACTATGGGGGATGAATTACTATATGGGGGATGAATTACTATATGGGGGATGAATTACTATATGGGGGATGAATTACTATGGGGGATGAATTACTATATGGGGGATGTATTTTCAGTTTTAAAAATGTGGCTCTCAAAATAAATTTCAATCGTGGTTTTGGCGAGATTTGGCTCAGTTGAAAAAAAAGGTTGCCCACCACTGACCTAAGGCTATGATTGTGATTATGACGATACACTGTGGCCCTGATTAACCCTTTGCTTACTGGGCCCTTAAACCTCCTTCATGACCAGAGCGCTTTTTGCAATATATGCAGTGTCGGATTTGTTTTAAATGTTGCAATGGTTTTGCGGCTCCCAGTCTTTTTTTCCCTCTCGGAAACGGGTCCAAGTGGCTCTTTATGTCTTAAAGGTTGCAGACCCCTGTATACCCACAGTTGAGGAAGGCAAAAAAAACCCAGCAAAGCTAAATCCAATTTGCTCCTGCAGGGAAAAAAAATCCTTACTGACCCCCCGAGAGGCAATCGGATATCCCCTGGATCAACTTTACCTATAAATGTTAGTATCCAGTTATATTCTGTGTATCTAAGAAACAATCCAGGCCTTTTTTAAAGCAATCCACTGAGCTGGCCAGAACCAACTCTTGAGGGAGTCTATTCCACATTTTCGCAGCTTTTACTGTAAAGAAACCTTTTCGTGTTTGGAGATTAAATTTCTTTTCCTCCAGACATAATGTTGGACCTTTGTCAGTTTCCTGGTCTGCTATGGATATGAGTTATTCTAGTTTAGGAAACATTTGCTCTTTTTGTGTACATTTATCACATGACCATTACCTTTGTTAGCACCTTTTTTAAAGCAATCCACGGAGCTGGCCAGAACCAACTCTTGAGGGAGTCTATTCCACATTTTCACAGCTCTCACTGTGAAGAAACCTTTCCGTGTTTGGAGATTAAATTTCTTTTCCTCCAGACGTAATGTTGGACCTTTGTCAGTTTCCTGGACTGCTATAGATATGAGTTATTCTAGTTTAGGAAACATTTGCTTTTTTTGCATACATTTATCACATGACCATTACCTTTGTTAGCACCTTTTTTAAAGCAATCCACGGAGCTGGCCAGGACCAACTCTTGAGGGAGTCTATTCCACATTTTCACAGCTCTCACTGTGAAGAAACCTTTCCGTGTTTGGAGATTAAATTTCTTTTCCTCCAGACATAATGTTGGACCTTTGTCAGTTTCCTGGTCTGCTATGGATATGAGTTATTCTAGTTTAGGAAACATTTGCTCTTTTTGTGTACATTTATCACATGACCATTACCTTTGTTAGCACCTACAAATTAATCAACTCATTTAGTTTAATCACTACTTCCCAAAGTAAATATTTGAATATAACATGATAAACACACACAGGGAGTCATGAATATTGCATTGAACTACAGCTGTTAATAATATACTTTAGTTTGCTGCCTCCTGCCTTTGCATTATCTGCAGTAAAGCAATTTAATTAAAGGGTTCTTTGCTGATCTAAAGAATGTAAGAAAGTGTAATGCAAATAAAAAATGAAAATGTGCTATGATATATTGGCTCGTATTCTTTATTAATTCTTGTCTCATACTTTACAGTGTAACGGCAACAGCAGCCAGTGTGGGAGCTGCAGGAGTACCACAGGCCGGCCTGGTTACCATGGTGATCGTTCTGAGCGCCGTGGGTCTTCCAGCTGAGGATGTCACTCTTATAATAGCTGTTGACTGGCTTTTGTAAGTAGTTCTTGTGTGGGAGAACATGTTTTCATATCATTTGGTAGATGGGAATTGTGTGTTATGAATAGGTTCTCTCTATATATATATATATATTATATTATGACATGTTATGCAAAATATATTACCTAAAGCAGACCCATAGTCAATACTACCCTGACCTTGTCATCAGAACATATCCTCAGGAGAGTGCTGCTGTGACACCCTCTGGTGCTGGTATGCGACCTACTAAAGGGATGTAGTCATGACAGAAGAATGTAAAAAACGCTGAAGTCTTTGAGGAATATATATTTGTTCCCATTTATAATTAATTTAAGTGTTACTGAGAGTACCAGCATTGAAAATTCCAACAGTTCCAGTAACCGTTTCCAGGTCTCCCAGCAGAGGGTGAGTTGTCAACTTGAAGTGGTAACAAAATGGAAAGCCAGGCAGTTGAAACTTCTCTCTAAATGCACACATCAACTGCAGAGAGGTGAATGATTTTGGATCAAAAAACCCAAATAGTTTTGCAGCTTCTGCAAAGAAATAAAGAAGCCTTGGGGAGCTCATGACTCTCCTCAGCCTATGCACATCCAGGCAAAAGATGCAATACCCAAACAGAGGTCCCCGTATTTTCTCTGTATTAGGTCTATGATATCCGACCTTTGGATGTTGCTGTATATATTGCAGCTGTCCATGACCGTACCTGGGCCTAGATGGTCAATCTGGTAGGCCTTTTTTCACTTATTCGTAGCCCCAGTTTTCACACCTTCAAAGTTCTCCAGAAACACAGACTCACAAATACTTTACAGTTGTACCAGTTCACTAGTCAAACACAGCAAATTCTTTACTCCTGCGCTGGGGATGGACTCAGCAGAGGCTAGGATGACAATGTAAATGTTCTGGAATATGCACTGCTTGCTGCCCTCAACGGACCTAAGTCACTAAATGCAAATGAAAAAGCAAAAAGAGGGCGCATCGGCCTAGTGCATTATCGTTTAAAATATTTATTGAAAGAATAAAAAAGTAGGTATCATACTCACAATAGACATATAAAACATAGGCTGAGTCCTCGAAACACGTCAGACAGTTGGTCATCCAGGGTTCCATCGTTGCGGACTCAGATGCTATATGGATTGAACACCCTTTGTTCATTGTGATGTGCCTATATTTTTTATGTCCATTGTGAGTATGATACCTACTTTTTTATTCTTTCAATAAATATTTTAAACGATAATGCACTAGGCCGGTGCGCCCTCTTTTTGTTTTTTCAATTACATTTAGTACCAGTTCACTGGACCAGACTCATCAGAGACTGGCTGGATTTCTAAATATCTCCACCTGATCTAAACTGAATATATGCCACATTGAACCAAGAATCACTAATACAGAATACGATGGCAACAGTCACGTTTACAGCATGACTCCTTAAGTACAGTGGACACAAATGGTTAGTCCAGATATCTAGTTGAAAAGATTGGTTAATTTAACCACTTCACGTCCAGGAACTATCACCCCCTTCCTGCACAGGCCAATTTTCAGCTTTCAGTGCTATCACACTTTAAATGACAATTGCAACACTGTACCCATATGAATTTTTTAGCATTTTTTTTGAGACAGATAAAACTTTATTTTGGTGGTATTTATTCACCACTGGGATTTTTATTATTTTTTTCTATATAAATGAAAAAGTCCAAACATTTGGAAAAAAAGTGTTTTTCTTATAACATTTTGCAAATAAATAATCTTTCTTCATAAATCTTAGCCAAATGTATTCATCTGTCTTTTTAGTAAAAAAAAAATAACCCAAATGAGTTTATAACCAAAATATATAATTTTCTAAATTTCTTTTACTTTTTTTTATGTTATTATTTAAATGCTGTAAAAGCAATCATTTCTCTTTCTCTCTGGCTGCATTCTTGCACCGTATCACGGTGCCGCACACTCCCAGGGAGCGCGCACAGGCAGTGAATGCAGGTGACGTTTAGAAACGTCAACCCGCTTTGGCCGTGCTCCCGTCTGGCCGTTTATAGACATGGGCTGGATGAGAAGTGGTTAAAGGACTCTCAAGTTCTCACATTTTCTTCTGCTTGTTAAAAAATTACATAAAACATCAGGCTGCATTTTTTTGTCCAATACTTAGCCTTTTCGAATCACTCCACCTTCTCTTCTTCTTCTAATATTTATCTGAAAGGCTCATAAAATCAACATCACAAGACTAATTTTTCTTGCCATGTCATATTTTTATTAGTCATTTGGAATCTCAGAACATAGGTGGAATTGCTTCATGTCAGACCTTTATTTGCTATGTACAATTCTAGCATATGTTTATTAAATACACATTTTTATTTATCTTTGTAAACTTTACCCTAATTATTTTTATGATGTGACACATGCTGAATGTGTTTTTGTGAATGCTATTTGCCATTTTAAGAGTTGTAGGTCTTTTGAGTTTTGCAAGAAAATAAAGATTAGTAGCACAATCTACAGATTTGTAGAGCATTCTGTATGTCTAATAGTGTATTCAATATCCTATTAGAAAGAGACAAAATAAATAAATCTCATAGACACTGCACTGTTATGCCTCATAAACACGAAGAGAATATCGAATCCATGATTGTATGTTTTTTTGCATGCAAGTCTCATATCAAAGATGAATAGATTTCTAGAGTTATGAAAATTCTTGTATACAAAATACAATTCCCGCAATGATGTAATATTTTGTATTGCATTGTAAAGTATTTTTTTGTTTTTCGAGCATGGGCAGTCTTGCTCATTTGATTTTTTGTATTTCAATGTTTTTATTAATTTATAAACAGTTTAAGACAGGAGCAACAAAACACGCCCACTCAGGGGCTATCAATTGTACATAAAAAAAAAAACAGTGCTCTAACACCAACAGAGCAAAAGGTGCACCCACACAGGGGCTATCAATGGCACATAAATGACAAAAACATTGCTATAACACCAACAGTAACTCAAACCAAAGGCAGCTATCCACTTCCATACCAAAAACAAACAAAAAAAGAAAAGGAAGAAGTGCAAAAGGAAAAAGATAACAAGGCCAAGAGCAGGGGTCAGAGAACAGCTCATTTGATTTTTTAAGAATGAATACTGTACTGATTAAACGAAAAACATTTGTTCCCACTGTCATACAAGAACATTTTTTGTTGTTGTCCCTTTGGATAATTTTGTATAAACTGTTGTGATCGGCTCTCAAAAGCTGTGTACTAACAATCAGATTATTGGACGATCGCTCAGAAAGTGGTATTTTTCTTACGATTTTCTCATCGTGTGTACTAGGCTTAGCTTACTCTGTTCTAGCAGATCGATAGAGTTGCAATTAGACAGTGGAATAGGAAAGTCCAATTATCGTTCGCATGAAATGAGTAAGTATAGCTGCCTCCGCTAAATATACATAGGAGGCACATACAGAGAAATGTTTTTATGACATGCTTGCTCACGGATTAGGGTATGTTTTCTTTGGTCACAGTCAATGTGTATAAAAAAAAAACTCTAAAAAGATTTTAGATTCACTTTAAATAATGATTTGTGACTCCTCTGCTAGACAGATGATTTGACCAGGTTTGTATGCCTACAGCACAGTCTTTCCCAAACTGAGAGGTGGAAAGAAGATTAACAATTAAACTGCATAGCTTTTCTGATATAGGCTTGTCTGATAAAACTGTAATTATTCGTATCAGCTGGATGTGTTTAATGAGTAGCTGTGATCATAAACTGGGTTTTACATGTCTGTCCTAGAAAGATTGATGATTACATTGTTGGCATTATCTTATCTATAACTTTCAGGGTTTTTGTATGCAAAAGGCCATAAATGGGAAAGGTTGCCTCCTCCCTCTCAGACAGCTACCACACCAAATTACCGGATTAATAAACCATGAAAGGCCAGTCATGGCCAACCATAGTTATGAAAAGATGATAAGTAAATTGAGACCTTTTGCCCTTATTCCAATGCAATGATGATCTATTTTTCCCTAATAGTTTCATATGTTTAAAGAGAGGAGCTTTAGCAAAAAGGTCACACCCATCAATTACTTATTAGATCCTTTCTACATCTTTCCTTTCCAATTCTGCAATGTTAACAAAATGCCAGTACTGCAGTAAAAATTGCTTTTCAAACAACGTCATTCATAGCTTATGTCACTGAACAGGATGATACCCAAAACAGATAATTTGTTGTTATTCACCAGATTGTACATCCTTGACCCCTGGCTTGCACATTGTGTGTTGCCATGTGGTTTATAACCCAGTGTATTACACCTTGTAATTGCAGCTATTTACTTGTAGTACAGAATAAAGAGATAAAAAGAAGTTAAGGAATGACACAACTAACTAGAGTAACTACAAGAAATTTATTAACCTAGACTGTGCTTGAGAATACTAGCACATTTAATATATTTCAGAATACTTAAAGCTGAACTTCATTCAGATATAAAATACATACAGCTCTGTTTTAATTATTCAATCGATAAATAAATATATTTTTTCTTTAGTTCAACTTAAGTACCAGAATTTGATTTTCCTTTAGTCTCTTGCAATTCCCTGTAAAATAGACTGGGAGAGGGAGGAGCAGGTCTGAGAGCCAATCAGGCCTGCTGCATACAAATGCCTTTTCACGGATCAGGCCGATAGGAGAAGGTAGCAAAGGTTGTCAGTGCAGAGAGAACACCACTGTATCTCTTAGTGCCAGTTCACATAAATGCGGATTGAATGCAATTTGAACCAGATCCAATCCGCATGACATGTGAAATAAAATTGCTTCCCATGGTGCCTGGTCACATATGTCTGGTGCCTTGCCAATGCAGATTCAGTGTGGATTCAGTGCAGTTTAAAAAAGAGTCATGTACGATTTCTGAGCAGTGCCGTCAGTTTCAGGTGCGGATTACAGGCTATGGACTTCTATGGGAACCATTTCTAAACCTGACATGTGTGAACAGGATAAAAACCTGAACAGATCCTATCCTGAACCTGATGTAAACCTGACCTAAACCGGTGAACAACTACTGTGTCAATTAGCTGTGAAACCTGAGCTTCAATCTACACCGCACATGTGTGAATCAGCACGAAACTGAAGTATATCATCAAACAGCCTGTCCTGTGTAAGGTTGCTATTTAAATCTCAGGGCCAAAAAACTTTGTAAGTCAAAACAGTAATAGTTTATAAATCCTGAATATCTTTCATCCAAATGAAATGTATGTCCTTTTTTCCCCACAAATAGAGCTTTTTTTGGTGGTATTTGATCGCCTCTGCTGTTTTTAATTTTTTGCACTATGGAAAAAACTCGCTGATTTTGAGAAATAAACAATATTTTTGACTTTTTGCTATTAAACATGTCCAGTAAAAAAAATTTTAAAATCAAATTTCCCCATAGTTTATAAAGCTTTAGTAGCTGTGGTGTTACAACAGTAAAAAAAAAAAAACACTGAAACACTGAACGTCAGTGTACTTGACCCTTTTCTTAACCCTTAATCTGGACCTTATCCTAAAGATAAAGTATATGTAAAGCCTTAATCAGTTTTTGTCTAACTCCATTCCCTTTTTTTTTCTAGATTTTAGGTGTAAACACACTTTAATCTTATACTATAAACCAAACCTTTATCTGCATTAACCTAAGCACACGTCTTTACCTAATCCTAATACTAAACACACACTGTTTAATTTACATGTATATGGATGATGGCACTGTGATTTTTTATAATTATGAAAAAAAAAAATGTCCTAATCGATATACAGCTGTCCCATGACCCAGCTCTTTCCCAGACTGCCTACAGGGAAATTTAAGCAGGAGGAGCTTCTAGTCCTCTGCTGCTAGTCCCATGTTCAAACTAAAAAAAAACAGCCTTTGGAATACAGAGTATAAAATAAATAATTATTATTGATAAACTGTTTTAAATCATCATATAAATATATATTTGAAATCAAATCTTTATTATATTTTGGCAATAACAATTCTATGTCTTAGAATAAGAGAGAGGTGAAGCCTTCATCAATCAAGATGTAATATCCCACCCCCCCCCCCATTGTGTGTAGCTGGTTAGTGGGCATGGAGGAGGAGGGAGGGAGTGGGCTGTCATTTAGCACTGTGTATGCGCCCACATGTGTGACTCTATAGCCACATGGACTGCTCATATGTGATAGGGAGGAAATGCTCATAGAACCTCACTGAAAACTGAGCATGTGCAGAGTTTTCAACACTGCTCTTCAAAATCCCTAGCTGAATTGGGGACTTGGACAGAAGGGGGGAGATAGACAGCAGGATCAACCAGGTTTTTTACAGAATATAGAAAATGAATCTCATAGTGACCGAGTGAGTATGAACAGCATGTAATACAGCATTTATTCATAGTTTTTTATGCTGTAGGTTTAGTGACACTTTACAGTTAACATAACCCTAAACCATAATGTCATTTACTGTATATTTAGATCCACAGTGAGAAAACTTTTATAATGAACTCTGCCTAATTGCCAGCTGCAGTTTAACATTACTTTTAATACTATATTTAACAAATACTTATCTATATATTGGTTAATCAGGGATGCTTTATGTTAAAAATATCACAAAATGCTGAAAGATTGTAAGAGGACTCATTATGTTTGCTATCTTTTCCAGGGATCGATTTAGGACCATGGTAAATGTTCTTGGTGATGCTTTTGGAACTGGAATAGTAGAGAAGCTCTCCAAGAAAGAACTGGAACAAATGGATGTCTCATCACAAGTGAACATTGCTAATCCCTTTGCCATTGATCAAGGTATACTTTCAAATGAAGACGAAGACGATGAAGGGAAGAAGTCCTATGTGAATGGAGGATTTGCGGTAGATAAGTCAGATGCTATATCTTTCACCCAGACATCACAGTTCTAAAAACACTGGGAATGCCAGTTGTTGCAGGACATTAAGGAACATTGAATTGATTGACATTTGAAGTAAAGACAGCAAGTTGAGATTTTTTTTTAACTTTTGGACCGAAGAGTGTTTTTTTTTATTGCTCATTGTGAGCAAGCAAAGCATAAAGAAGAGTATAAAAATATATTTCACTTTTATAATACTGTCTTATGGTATCTAAATACCAATATTTGGAATGTATTATCAGACTTAGCATGTTCATTGCCTGGGGGTTTTCTTTTCCTGGCCAATAATGTGAACCTTGGATAAGCTCTTCTGAAGCACAGCAACACATTACTAGGCTTATTCAACAATGTAAAGAGCAAAGTGAAATGTGCAGCAACCCATAGCAAGCAGTCAGACTCTTTCTTTTATCGATTACACTAAAAAAATCTGAAATCTGATTGGATCCTAGGGATTAATGCTCTTTCCACATTGTCATAGCTCTATGTCCTGTTTAACTGAAAAAGCCTGCATGTTCTTTCTGTTTGGTTAAAGGACCATTAAACTTGAAATACAAACATGTTGCCTTATATAAAAGGAACTGTTGTTGACATTTACTCACATTGGGATCGTAAGCATTTCAGGGATTTATGAGAGCCACAAGTAACAGTGCCAACACTTTTTCATAGGTAAAGCATTATTATATTGAAAATCGTTGGACTTGTATTGATGGGCAAATACAATGTGCTTAAACATCAGTTTGAGTAGCTACTGAGATCATTTAAAGGTACACAACCTCCTTGGGGCCTACATTGCATTTGACCTCTTTCAGTCTGCCTTTGCAATTCCATAGACTTGTATAGGGAAAGCAGATGAACAAAAGCTGTCAAAAAAGGCCCTTACTAATGACAGGACTTATTGTCACAACAGAGGTTCACTTTAAAGCCTACAATGGCATATCACAATGAGCAGTGATTTGTAGTCAGCAGTATAAGAATTATCTTCAGTGTTAGTTATGCTGTTGAATCATGTGTGTGTTATACAGTTTAATATTGTATTGGGTCATATTTCATGGCTTAGTGGTCCTTTTTTACAGTATAACATTTGTATTGGATAATATTTCATGGCTTAGTGGTCCTTTAAACAACGCATACATTGTAAATGATTGTGTACAGCAGGAGTTATCTGTATATTGTGCCAAATCTATTTCCAAAAACCTACCATTTTTCATTTTTTTGTCAAAATGAAAAAGATTTACTTTTACAAGTCTTCCAGAGGACATCTGCATAGTAAGATGATGTTTCAGCTTGCCTTAGTTCTGAACTCATGCAATAAAGGATATGTAAAATGCAACACTATTTATAAAGCATGTAAGCATTGTTAAAATTGCAAAGCATACCATTTTGGTAGCCAAAGGGTTAGGAGGCTTTCCTTTTCTTTGAGAAGCAGTGTTCTCTTGATATATCAATGTGCCATTCTTTGTCATTAGCAAGAGGCCTCAATAGACATCATTTTCAAAATAAAATCTAATTGATGCTGAGAATTAAGTATTTTCATAGTCTAATAAATAGTCCAAACATCTTTGCTCATTATAAGCAATAGATAATTCGTGAAATACAACACTGAATTATTTAGTATATCTCAGTTGAATGCATACATATTTAATCTTTTCTATTAATTGCCACTTTGGGTCTCAGTTGACCTCTGCCCATGTGTTAGTTTGTGGTAAGCTGTATATCATTGTAGTTTTTTTTATTTTAATTGAAGATTTGAATCTATATGATTTAAATAGCTGGTCTATACATTTAGTGTTAACCTTTTTTTCTTTAAATGCAGTCACATATGGTTTATGCTGGTCATAAACAGGTTCACAAAAATGTTAGTGTCTCTTATCTATAAGGGTAACAATTACAAATCAGTGCTCCTGAACAATTTAAATATGCTGAAAAATTAGTGAGTGAAGTTAGGAAATTGGAGCTACTAGATGATCTATTTATATATTTTTTCATGGGAGAGTCACACAACATTAGCAAAGGTTTCACACATTTTTCAATTGGATTCAATTGGGAAAATGTTTGAATCTTGAGTGTTGTGTGAATCTTGTATGGAAAAAAATAGCCCCTAGGTGTCAATCAGTTATTTTAGGGTGAAACTCCAGGCAAAATACTTTTTTCTGTACTTTAGATAGAGCGGAGAAAGATTTCAAATGCTGTATTATCATATGTATATATTTTTATTGCTCTCTGTGTCCCCATTGAAAAAATTACCTTTTATTTCCAGTGATGGTATTTTCCAGGGTGGGAAGAGAGGGAAATCCTAGATATTGGGAATCAGCAACAAAAACACTTTTTACAGTAGTGGGAGGGGAGAAATGCCAAACTGGGAATAAAAACATAAAATCGGGGCCTTTAACCCTTTCAATCCTTATCCAAAATGAAAAAAAATGGTTTTATTTCCACTTTAATACAAATAAGTTGCTGGTTTTCAGTTGGTTCAGTTTATCTTAGTAGTCGCATCAAAGTAGGGAATTATACTGGGTCAAATACCCACAAATTACTTGAAGATTTTTTATCAACAGGTATCTTTAGCTACCATAGCCTTTCTCCTTTTGGTTAATTGGGTTCTAAATGGCTTTCAATCATTTTAAGTGTAAATTCACATAAAACGTCTAGGGTTGGATGGAGTGAGGAATAGAGTAGAAACTCTTTCAGGTTTTTTATTGTTTTGTTTTTTTATGCTGTCTGAGAAGATTTTGTCTCAGTTCCTTTCAGGTGACAATGTTTCTACTAGGCATAAAGTATTAGAAAACCTGCAACAGAGAGAACCTGCAACAGAGAGAATCTGAGGTTCTAACACTTCTCAACTCTATTTAAGACTACAAAAAGGTTTAGAGTGGGGATGCACTTTAAATTAGACCAATGCAGACCTTGAAAGTGTATTTCCATCTTTCCAGCCAAATGGGATAACACCTACTTTATAATTGATACACATTCTCATTTACTTAGCATAGCTTAAAAAAAAATAAAAATTGCTGTTTATATTTTTACTTGCTCTCTTTCAAAAACTCCAAAACTGAAAAATCTTTCCACTTCTGTGTAATTTTAAGAAGGGCCTGGGGAATTATGTTTACCATATAATTAACCCTGTCTCTACTGCAATGGCAGATCTTCATTATCAAATGTAAACTAGATGTGCACATGGCCTATTCTAACTAAGGGTTAATGTACTTTTAAACCAATCTGTCCTAATAGAGTCCTGTGTACAATTCTGCTCAAAAGAAACCACTAAAAAAGGTACAAAATATTTGTTTTAAAGATCCCTACTTTTTGTTGCTTTAATGAAATAGCTCTTTGATTAACTAGACTGATCTCACCAAAACATACATTTTTACTGCACAGGATACTTAAAATGTGACCTAATGCCTAATATGTCTAAGTGCAGACTTCTGGGAAAATCATTGAGCTAATCACACAAGCAGGAATGACATTTTTGGAGGTATTCTGTGTACAGAACACCTCCACATTCCATTGAATTTGACATAAAAATTTTAGAAGTGCAGATTGAAAAGGAGAAGTACATTTTAATAACATTCAATGACAATATGACTTGCGTAGCAATTGTATATGCTATAACAGTTTTTAATTTTTTTTTTATATCGAAAGCGGAATTACCTTTTAGGGTATTCTATATGAATGGAAACATCTAAGAAACATATAGCGGGTGCTCCTCAAATTTGGCCGCAAAGATGGAAATAAACTTTGAATCAAATCGCAAAAAAAAGACAAACATTTTGTATTTTTTTTCACTTGCTTTCTACATTGGATTCTACTACTTTTTTTCATGCCTACCTTTTAGATGTCAACAGGGATTCGCAAATATAAGGGAAATTTGCTCCTCCAATAAATGCTTTCTGCACAATTTTATCAGGATATTTAATTTTACTGTGATTGTCCCAATATTTTATGGTTTAGGAATGGCAAACGTGAGATGGAATAAAATAAAAAAACAGGAAAAGCCGCTCAATATTTCTCAGTTTTATTAACACTCACTGTGAAATACACTGTGTCAAAAAAAAGGATCACAGCCTTGAGATAACAGCAAAGCACTTATACCAACACTGAAAAGGTGAAGCAACCACAGATATAGCAAGTATTTATTGTTGTGCTCTCCCAGCAATCTCTGCGAATTTAGTATGGAGCTACTTCAGATTAGTAGTTTCCAATGTGACAGTTTGGGCTCAGAACTTGTGGGTGTAGATGCTCTGTCCCTTTGCTGATTTGAAAAAAAAAGTTGATTGTAACTACTTGTAAATTGCATAACAAGACACTAAATGCTAAATGGTTGTGGAATCTATTCAGTGTTGAATGGGGCAGAACCCCTCTCAGGACCAGACTGAGATAACATTACAAAGCTGTATGCAAGATTAAATACTGTATCATAGACTTAATTTTTTAAGTAACTTGCAATGGAAATGTGCCTAAATAACATTACACGGATCGCCTAATAAATTTATTATTAAAAAAAGCTTTCAGAGCATTGTATATGTGAGAATTTTCAAATTGCCTATAAAGTATCAAGCAAATTAACAAATATTCAAAACTGAATGAATATTAAAGCGTCACTCATTAAATAGAGGAGTATATAGCAATTGTTAATTCAGTTTGGTTCTGAAGCTTTAAATCATGTGCCAAAAATAGCTGCCTCTAAATTTACTCTTTTGAGTAAGAGGATACTATGTTTTAATAAATATGTCATATCTTTGAACTGTACATGTGTAATATAAAAAAAACATTGTAAATCTACAATATAATATATCCTAATAAAATGTGATCAGTTGCATAAATTAATAAATTGCTTGTGTTGTGTATGTTTATTTATGTTTACCGTTTCAGTATTAGGAGCAAAAAAAGGTTACAAACCTTTCCCTTCAAGTAGCATCACGTGAACACAAGGTAATCAGGAAAAACAGACATTCATACAGCACCTCCAACATGTAAATAAAGATAGCACCCCTTTCTTGCTCTCAAACTACAGTT